GCTATAAAAATAATCTGAGTTATATACTTCTAATCAAATCTTGAAATTTGATTACTTTAAATATATTAAACCACAAATTCCTTTGACCTAGAGATAATTGTTTCCATGATGGTTTTGCCTCCTCCAAGTTAGTACGAATGATGGAAGCAATTGTTCGAACCACCAACTTATGTTGATCAAACCTGTGTAAAACAACAACAAATTATGAATGATTAAAAATCAAATAATAAAAATTCATATCATATGTTAGGGAAGAAAAGACTCACCCATCCCCTTCTGGAAGTATCATGATTTTGTTTCCAGTATTGCCTTCACTGACTTGACCAGATGAAGAAGTTTGGGCTTTATTGACCATTGGATATTCTTCCAAATGAAGGACTTTGGTAGGTATGTGTTCAGATTGGTTTTGAGGTTGAGGTTGTGTAGGTTGGGTGCCATGACATTGTGATTGGATTGGAGGTTGAGTTGGTTGGGTGGAATGAAATTGAGACTGAGCTAGAGAATGAGATTGAATAGACTCAGGTTGAGGTTGAGGTTGAGTTTGAATGAGTTGAGGTTGATCATCGAAGCAAGCTTGTGACATGTTTAACATTGTAATAGCAGCAGACAACTCTGATGTATTTTTACTCATAGAATTCATTTCAACATCATCTTTATTATGAGGAACTTTCTCTCCATGGAACGTCCAGTACCAATATTTTGGTGCAAACCCTTCCTCACGAATGTGAGTATTTACTGTGCTTGGGACTAAATCCTTTTCATTTTTACATACCTTACATGGACACCTTATCACACCTTCATTCAAATATTGTGGTTGTCGACAAGCAAAATCAATAAACTCTTTGACACCTTCTAAAAAAAATTTTCTATAACCTTTTCGTCTAGGAAGCAGCCTAGCATACATCCATGTTCGGTGTGTAGGCTCTTCCATTTTCAGCTCAGTTCTAAAATTACTGAAACAGAAGTAATTTTTTTTTTCAAATGTTAGAAATTAAAAAACAAGATAAGTGATGTCAATAAAACAATAGAAAAACCCAACCCTCAATTACGTATGACATGACACAATTCCATTCAAGAAGACACTTTTTGTTAAAGATTGATTAATAGTTAGTCAATAAGACTCAAATCTTTATTTTCATAAAATTTGGCACTAATTTGCAATTGTCTCCAACTATGTAGGTGCATTATCATCATATTTCTTAGGTTATGGTTAATATAATCTTGAATATCATCTGGGTTTCATGTTCCTGAGTACAGAAGAATATGCTCAAAGAGCACTCAGCAAGAAGGGCTGCCTAAGGCTAGCTCGAAATCATCCACATATTCCTGTATCTTGCCTGTGTGTTTCACTTGAATTAGAACATTGAGTGGGTCATCATAAACTTCACCAAATCGTTGAGCTACATCAACAATGTATTGAGACCAGGAGGAATAGACATCAAATTTGCAATGCATAGAGTTGAGATGCCCCCGTAGGGAAATCCCATTAAGGTAAATAGAGCGCAAAACGAACCTTAGAAGTTTCTGTTGTGCCATCCACAGAAAAGAACTGAGTGCACTTATACAACCATTCTTTAATATTCTTACCATCAAACCGATGGAATTCCACCTTAGAAATGCGAGTACAATAGGCTGTTGGTTGCAGTTCTATCAGGGGGAGCACCATTACTGGTGGAGAAATCATCGTTGTTATTCTGGGTGGATTGAACCCCTAGTAAGCTGAGTTCTTCACAACATGGTAGTGCAAGGATGGTTGAAAACTGTAAATCAAGAACAAACAAATTCTGCAGAACATGGTATTGCAGGGGTTTGACAAACAGAACAGGTAGGAGAGAAAAAGAGATGAAAGGAGTAAGAGAAGAAGAAATATTATTCATGAATTTATAATTACATCCTGCCAAGCGGAAGGCAAAAGACACTATATAAAAGAAAAAGAAGCAATAACGGTCAAAACAGAATAGAACTGCTATCAAACAGATTAAAAAGGCTAAGCATGGAGAAAAGATGCTGAGCGCTTGGATAGTAGAGCAGAAGCAAGGAGATTCTATCAAAGAGAAAAATAATTGTTTGCATAGAATAATCAGAAAAGAATACAGCATTTTACTGAAATGCCGATACTCTGATTTCATTGGCCATGCTCAAGTTGGTTACAATTGCCTGCATCCCCAATGCACGTGTTCTTAATTTGCTAGTCATCATCTATTTCATATGAAACTAGGAATAAAATAAAAAGCACAAACAAAGTATTTTTAAGGGCTACAGTTATGTGGTGACATTTACGCTGGCATTAGAGTTATATAATAAAATTGATTTCTCCTACTACCTTGCCTAAAAGCTCATACGATAAGACATTCCTGCGAACATTTTCTCTAAAATAATAAATGTATTCCCTCATCTTTATTTGAATATAGAGATTCATTGGAGGCTCACAGAGTGGAATAATGTACATGGCCTAGAGATGGCCCTGGATGAAAGATCCTCAAATTTGGGAAATAGGTCATGTCTGTCAATGATAGTGAAATTAGAATCACACAATTCTGATTTGTACAACTAGATTTAGGATCTTGTTATATTTTCTTATCGTTTGCAGCTATAGCAATTTTAGAGAGAATTATTCCTCCTAATTCTTAGGTCTAGATTTGTGTACAGAATCAACACCGTACTACTACAATTATTTGTACTCATTCTTAGGCCTATATCTCAAGCATCATCATGAACTATTTAAAGTCAGCTAATTACCTTGCACTTGTCAATGTAAATGACTTTAAATACTGCCGGAGAGTTGAACTCCATAACAATCGTTCACCCATCACAACACTAGCTATTTGCCACACAGAGACACACCAACCCAATGAATATAAAATCTCGCCGAGTCCAAAAACTGTACCTTACCCTTCTTTACCTCAATTGTAAATGTCCATAAGATTATAACTAGCATGGCAAAAAATTTAGTTTATGCTTTTCACTTCATGATATTTTTGTTCTTTTTTGGTTAAACTTGTACTGCGAATTGAAAATAACTGAAACTGTATTTTGAGTTTTAATTGTTGGATAACCAGCTGTTGCTACTGTAGAAACATGAACTTGCAGATTACCTTAAATTATGGCATGCTTTAATTTCTTTGCTTCACAAATGGACCTCGCACAAAACTAGTCAGACAAATGTATAGTGTTACTCTGGCATCAAATAAGGAATCTCAAAAATATCAAATACATATAAGAATAATCAACTACAAAAACTCAGAGTAGTCAGAGAACTATTTTTCTATAGGACACAATCATTCTCTAAAATAAAAACACACGAGGTTTTCAAAACACGTGGGATCATTAGAATGAAAAAAAAAAGGAATTTATCAACAAGATACCATATAGAAACCTAAAACAATCAAATTAGCACGGAATCCATCAATATACTTAAGCCAGGGCAACAAACGTTGTTTCTCCCTCAGGTAGTTACGTAAATTAATTAATAATTAAACACGAATCTGAAAATTCCAATAGCTTTGAATAAGTAATCTGAAAATTTTCAAATACATAGACGAATAGAATGCATAAAACGAAGAAGATTCAAGTGGTTCAAGTAAAAAGATGCACAGATTGAACTTTGAATAAAACCCTAAAACAGTGCTTGGACCGAAGGCGTAATTCGAGGTACCTGACAACGGTCGAGATTAGGATCCCAAGCTCAGTCAGAGTCATAGTAGTTAACTGAAATAATTTGAAGTTATGCTATAAACACAGACAGAGGGAAAAGCATGTAATATTAAAACGCGAAAGATCAATATAACTTACACTGTAAATTACTACATTTGATGTACCAATGGGAAGTGTTTAGCATTATAAAAACCTAAATCTAAATACAAGGATCGAGGTCACTCAACGAGTTTCTAGGAAAATTCGCAGGTATGCGGTAGTTTTAAAAGAAAAAAATAAAATAAAATATAAAATTGCTGCACATTATTTTGTAGATAATTACAACTAGAAAACTTATATGAAATTTTGAAGGAATTATTTACAGATTTTATTTGTCAAATCATTTTAAAAAGTAGTCGAGATAAATAAATTTGTGAGAAAATGTTTCGGTATTTTCAAGGAAGTGCTTGTAGAATTTCAAAATTTATAAGAAATAAAACCTGAAGGAAAATTATTTACAGAATTTCAATATTACATTGCACAATGTAACATCCCAAAAATATAGTAATAAACCATATAATAGAATAATTACATTTAATAATAAAACAGTTCAGTCTTACACTAAACAGTGTACATTTGCGGTCGAACGGCCTTACATAAGTTCCAAAAGTAAACTGTACAAGATTTAGGAAAAACATGACCGAACGGCTTACAAAATCAAGATATCGAACGGTCAGATATCAAACGAAAGAAAGGAGGTGATCAAACGATCACCTCATACTAAAATTACTAATTATCAACCGAACCTCCTACGGTTCGGCCTTTACTTCCACTTCGACTAAGTTCTCCTCTTCTAGCGTCTCTTCCAGCAACGCATCTCCATCTGCTCACATCCACACGGATGATCATTGCAATGACAAGACGAACGCACAAGACGAGACAACACAAGAAAAAACACAGGGTAAGCTTATATAATTTAATTCATACATCAACATATATATAAGTTAAACAATCCAACACACAAGATCATTTCAACGTACGTATCATACAAAGCCTATCACTAGACTGACCGTCCAGACTGTATGAAATCTGTGTAGCTACAGGCGTTCGTGCACCTNTGCCACTCTTCACATTGCTTCCAACCATGTGTTTCATGAGAGGACAGAACACTTACAAATTGACCATCCTTTTTTTAGAGAAAAGTTGTTGTCCAAGGGAATTTGCATTGAGTTTGTTAGCTATCAATGTGTCAACATTTTGACAAAATCCCTGAGAAAAGCTCAAATTCCACTTTATATGTTCCAAGGTTGGATCATACATTCCCTTTAGAGTATTGTATTGACATCAGCCAACTTTTGCAGAGTATAAGTTCAGATTGTAATTCAAATAAACAATGAAATATGACTCAAATCATTCGTTAGAATAAAACTTACATAAACGGATTCTGCATGAGGACCCACCCAACTTTGATCTTTTTTCTTTCGATGAGTACGAAAATAAAACTCCACCAATGATGGATCTGTCCCTTTTGCCTCTTTCTGTGACAAATGATAAAATAAGCTTAAATATCATTAATATTAAACCTACTACAATGAAATATATTGGTAAATTAATAATACCATTCTCTTCCAATGCAAACGATGAGGAATTGATCCTCCGGTGTGAAGTGATGCACCATCCATAGACTCACGATTTCTTTTATTTATTTCAGACTTTTGTTTAAAATTTGAGGAACCCCAATGTTCTTTCAATAGTTCCCACACATCATTTTCCATCCAAGTTGGTTTTTGATTTAAATTTTTCCGAACATCTTGCATTAATTGAGTCATTTTAGCTGAACCCCTCTTCTCAAAGTTGCGTCGCACCATGTCCTTGTATTGAGGTGGCCATGTGAACTTTGACTACATTGGTTTCACAATATTGAAAATATTATTAGATTCGACATGCTATAAAAATAATCTGAGTTATATACTTCTAATCAAATCTTGAAATTTGATTACTTTAAATATATTAAACCACAAATTCCTTTGACCTAGAGATAATTGTTTCCATGATGGTTTTGCCTCCTCCAAGTTAGTACGAATGATGGAAGCAATTGTTCGAACCACCAACTTATGTTGATCAAACCTGTGTAAAACAACAACAAATTATGAATGATTAAAAATCAAATAATAAAAATTCATATCATATGTTAGGGAAGAAAAGACTCACCCATCCCCTTCTGGAAGTATCATGATTTTGTTTCCAGTATTGCCTTCACTGACTTGACCAGATGAAGAAGTTTGGGCTTTATTGACCATTGGATATTCTTCCAAATGAAGGACTTTGGTAGGTATGTGTTCAGATTGGTTTTGAGGTTGAGGTTGTGTAGGTTGGGTGCCATGACATTGTGATTGGATTGGAGGTTGAGTTGGTTGGGTGGAATGAAATTGAGACTGAGCTAGAGAATGAGATTGAATAGACTCAGGTTGAGGTTGAGGTTGAGTTTGAATGAGTTGAGGTTGATCATCGAAGCAAGCTTGTGACATGTTTAACATTGTAATAGCAGCAGACAACTCTGATGTATTTTTACTCATAGAATTCATTTCAACATCATCTTTATTATGAGGAACTTTCTCTCCATGGAACGTCCAGTACCAATATTTTGGTGCAAACCCTTCCTCACGAATGTGAGTATTTACTGTGCTTGGGACTAAATCCTTTTCATTTTTACATACCTTACATGGACACCTTATCACACCTTCATTCAAATATTGTGGTTGTCGACAAGCAAAATCAATAAACTCTTTGACACCTTCTAAAAAAAATTTTCTATAACCTTTTCGTCTAGGAAGCAGCCTAGCATACATCCATGTTCGGTGTGTAGGCTCTTCCATTTTCAGCTCAGTTCTAAAATTACTGAAACAGAAGTAATTTTTTTTTTCAAATGTTAGAAATTAAAAAACAAGATAAGTGATGTCAATAAAACAATAGAAAAACCCAACCCTCAATTACGTATGACATGACACAATTCCATTCAAGAAGACACTTTTTGTTAAAGATTGATTAATAGTTAGTCAATAAGACTCAAATCTTTATTTTCATAAAATTTGGCACTAATTTGCAATTGTCTCCAACTATGTAGGTGCATTATCATCATATTTCTTAGGTTATGGTTAATATAATCTTGAATATCATCTGGGTTTCATGTTCCTGAGTACAGAAGAATATGCTCAAAGAGCACTCAGCAAGAAGGGCTGCCTAAGGCTAGCTCGAAATCATCCACATATTCCTGTATCTTGCCTGTGTGTTTCACTTGAATTAGAACATTGAGTGGGTCATCATAAACTTCACCAAATCGTTGAGCTACATCAACAATGTATTGAGACCAGGAGGAATAGACATCAAATTTGCAATGCATAGAGTTGAGATGCCCCCGTAGGGAAATCCCATTAAGGTAAATAGAGCGCAAAACGAACCTTAGAAGTTTCTGTTGTGCCATCCACAGAAAAGAACTGAGTGCACTTATACAACCATTCTTTAATATTCTTACCATCAAACCGATGGAATTCCACCTTAGAAATGCGAGTACAATAGGCTGTTGGTTGCAGTTCTATCAGGGGGAGCACCATTACTGGTGGAGAAATCATCGTTGTTATTCTGGGTGGATTGAACCCCTAGTAAGCTGAGTTCTTCACAACATGGTAGTGCAAGGATGGTTGAAAACTGTAAATCAAGAACAAACAAATTCTGCAGAACATGGTATTGCAGGGGTTTGACAAACAGAACAGGTAGGAGAGAAAAAGAGATGAAAGGAGTAAGAGAAGAAGAAATATTATTCATGAATTTATAATTACATCCTGCCAAGCGGAAGGCAAAAGACACTATATAAAAGAAAAAGAAGCAATAACGGTCAAAACAGAATAGAACTGCTATCAAACAGATTAAAAAGGCTAAGCATGGAGAAAAGATGCTGAGCGCTTGGATAGTAGAGCAGAAGCAAGGAGATTCTATCAAAGAGAAAAATAATTGTTTGCATAGAATAATCAGAAAAGAATACAGCATTTTACTGAAATGCCGATACTCTGATTTCATTGGCCATGCTCAAGTTGGTTACAATTGCCTGCATCCCCAATGCACGTGTTCTTAATTTGCTAGTCATCATCTATTTCATATGAAACTAGGAATAAAATAAAAAGCACAAACAAAGTATTTTTAAGGGCTACAGTTATGTGGTGACATTTACGCTGGCATTAGAGTTATATAATAAAATTGATTTCTCCTACTACCTTGCCTAAAAGCTCATACGATAAGACATTCCTGCGAACATTTTCTCTAAAATAATAAATGTATTCCCTCATCTTTATTTGAATATAGAGATTCATTGGAGGCTCACAGAGTGGAATAATGTACATGGCCTAGAGATGGCCCTGGATGAAAGATCCTCAAATTTGGGAAATAGGTCATGTCTGTCAATGATAGTGAAATTAGAATCACACAATTCTGATTTGTACAACTAGATTTAGGATCTTGTTATATTTTCTTATCGTTTGCAGCTATAGCAATTTTAGAGAGAATTATTCCTCCTAATTCTTAGGTCTAGATTTGTGTACAGAATCAACACCGTACTACTACAATTATTTGTACTCATTCTTAGGCCTATATCTCAAGCATCATCATGAACTATTTAAAGTCAGCTAATTACCTTGCACTTGTCAATGTAAATGACTTTAAATACTGCCGGAGAGTTGAACTCCATAACAATCGTTCACCCATCACAACACTAGCTATTTGCCACACAGAGACACACCAACCCAATGAATATAAAATCTCGCCGAGTCCAAAAACTGTACCTTACCCTTCTTTACCTCAATTGTAAATGTCCATAAGATTATAACTAGCATGGCAAAAAATTTAGTTTATGCTTTTCACTTCATGATATTTTTGTTCTTTTTTGGTTAAACTTGTACTGCGAATTGAAAATAACTGAAACTGTATTTTGAGTTTTAATTGTTGGATAACCAGCTGTTGCTACTGTAGAAACATGAACTTGCAGATTACCTTAAATTATGGCATGCTTTAATTTCTTTGCTTCACAAATGGACCTCGCACAAAACTAGTCAGACAAATGTATAGTGTTACTCTGGCATCAAATAAGGAATCTCAAAAATATCAAATACATATAAGAATAATCAACTACAAAAACTCAGAGTAGTCAGAGAACTATTTTTCTATAGGACACAATCATTCTCTAAAATAAAAACACACGAGGTTTTCAAAACACGTGGGATCATTAGAATGAAAAAAAAAAGGAATTTATCAACAAGATACCATATAGAAACCTAAAACAATCAAATTAGCACGGAATCCATCAATATACTTAAGCCAGGGCAACAAACGTTGTTTCTCCCTCAGGTAGTTACGTAAATTAATTAATAATTAAACACGAATCTGAAAATTCCAATAGCTTTGAATAAGTAATCTGAAAATTTTCAAATACATAGACGAATAGAATGCATAAAACGAAGAAGATTCAAGTGGTTCAAGTAAAAAGATGCACAGATTGAACTTTGAATAAAACCCTAAAACAGTGCTTGGACCGAAGGCGTAATTCGAGGTACCTGACAACGGTCGAGATTAGGATCCCAAGCTCAGTCAGAGTCATAGTAGTTAACTGAAATAATTTGAAGTTATGCTATAAACACAGACAGAGGGAAAAGCATGTAATATTAAAACGCGAAAGATCAATATAACTTACACTGTAAATTACTACATTTGATGTACCAATGGGAAGTGTTTAGCATTATAAAAACCTAAATCTAAATACAAGGATCGAGGTCACTCAACGAGTTTCTAGGAAAATTCGCAGGTATGCGGTAGTTTTAAAAGAAAAAAATAAAATAAAATATAAAATTGCTGCACATTATTTTGTAGATAATTACAACTAGAAAACTTATATGAAATTTTGAAGGAATTATTTACAGATTTTATTTGTCAAATCATTTTAAAAAGTAGTCGAGATAAATAAATTTGTGAGAAAATGTTTCGGTATTTTCAAGGAAGTGCTTGTAGAATTTCAAAATTTATAAGAAATAAAACCTGAAGGAAAATTATTTACAGAATTTCAATATTACATTGCACAATGTAACATCCCAAAAATATAGTAATAAACCATATAATAGAATAATTACATTTAATAATAAAACAGTTCAGTCTTACACTAAACAGTGTACATTTGCGGTCGAACGGCCTTACATAAGTTCCAAAAGTAAACTGTACAAGATTTAGGAAAAACATGACCGAACGGCTTACAAAATCAAGATATCGAACGGTCAGATATCAAACGAAAGAAAGGAGGTGATCAAACGATCACCTCATACTAAAATTACTAATTATCAACCGAACCTCCTACGGTTCGGCCTTTACTTCCACTTCGACTAAGTTCTCCTCTTCTAGCGTCTCTTCCAGCAACGCATCTCCATCTGCTCACATCCACACGGATGATCATTGCAATGACAAGACGAACGCACAAGACGAGACAACACAAGAAAAAACACAGGGTAAGCTTATATAATTTAATTCATACATCAACATATATATAAGTTAAACAATCCAACACACAAGATCATTTCAACGTACGTATCATACAAAGCCTATCACTAGACTGACCGTCCAGACTGTATGAAATCTGTGTAGCTACAGGCGTTCGTGCACCCGGGTGATGTAGTAACTGGGATACACTCAACAGCTGCCACCCGAGGTTAGCCCTATCTGTCCAAAGTACCCCTAAGGACTAGGACCTCCTGCCGTTCCCACACATGACCTACCCTCCTCTACATGAAGACGAGTACTCACGGAACATCAGGATGAACGGCCAGCTTAGCATGCCCACAGTCATACTTTACAATTTCCAACATTCATACATGAGACGTTCCTCCCCGGAACGCTCGTCCATAATTCACAACATTTCCAAATCACACTTTCTTCATCTTTCCTTAATAAATATCTCAGTGAACTGTCACGTACAAAGATTCAACAAACTTTAAAATGACGGACGTTCAATCCAAACTTAAAACTGGACCGAACACATAAAGCGAGACCGGGGATCTTCAAAGTTGAGAATAGTTTAAGACCAAGGGTTGACATCGAATTCTAAGAAAGATAGCGAATACAGTAATATTTTCCAAAGACAAATGGGACGAACGTCCATTTCAACGTTGAGTCAATTAAATAAACTGACTCTTGAGAATTCACTCAGAACATAAAGAGACTGAACCAAGAACTTGGATCTAGGGTGAAACCAATGAATAAGGATATTTTTAGGGCATTCAAAAATTGGTACTTAGAGTGATTCACATGGAGAAAACCGAACACTTATGTTTAATTGAGCGTAGTATCAAGGAATCGACATGTCAATCGAAGACTGAACACTATAGAGAGTGGATCTTAGAAGCTTAAACGAACGCTCATATTAAAATTAACTTAAGGAAATGGAACGAGTGTTTGGTGTAAGACCGAGCACCAAGAATCTTAACATCAAAAGATTTGATAAACATAGTACGATAATATTGAAGTAGTGTTTACGAACATTAAAATATACAATTACATATATACTTAGATTTTTAACCGAACGTTAAAACTCAATTGTGCTTGGTCGAACGCTCATGCACAGTATTCCGAAGCGAAGACGCTCGTCCTCAACTAGGATTCTTCCCAAATGAAAGAATCCACTACAAATCCAATTTTACTAGAAAACCGAACGGTCAAGGACCGTTCAGTAACGTACGCATACTCTCTTAAGGGAATTTCTTACCAAAAATGAATATCATTCAAATTCAGTTCTTAACATATAGTTTCACATCTTCTACATTCATATTATGATAAATTTTTCATGTCTCAACCCATCCAATCACAGAAATTTCATACATTTCATGCATCATAACATAGTATCATCATTTTCATATACAATCAAGTCAACGAACGTTCATGCAACACTTAGTCATATAAATTAAATTAATAAGCTTCCCTTACCTCTTAAAGATGGTCGAACGTTCTCAGATATGGGCTAGGGTTCTCCTTCTAACAGAGGTCTCAACGTTCTACAACACGTTCTACAAACTATAATCCACATAGACCAAACAATTACTCAGAATGATAGATTCAACTCATGCAACCAAGAATATGGGTTTGCATGTTACGGAAAAAGGCACGAATGGAGAAAGGATGAACTTACCAGTTCAGAATCTTAAACGGATTGGTTAAACGATCGTCCTCTACGCCGGAAGTGTAGAACTGGTGCCTGAAGGATGATCGGAGCAAAGAAAGAGTGAGTTTTGGTAGAGAGAAGGGAGAGCTGTTTAGAGAGAAGAAGGAGAAAATGAAGATAAGAGTTTTTGGAAGAAGAAGGGTGCATGCAGAGTGAGTGAAACGGGAGTTTCAAAAAGTTAGATTTTGTTTTTCTCATTCAAACGAACGTCCGCTCACTCGCTGACACATGTCTTCCACTATCTGATTTTCGAATCCTCGTTGCCTGACACCTGGCGTCCGCGCAGAGGGTTTTGGGTGCGTTTTAAATGAGCTGACAGGAGGGGTTTGGGTGCGTATTTACGAGGTCTGACACACAACATAAATATTATTTAGAATTTATGATAAAAAATATTTTTAAATATATATATTATATATATATATATATATATATATATATATATACATTATAATATATTTGATTATCCAATTACAAATAATTATGTACCTCGGTAAATTTCATAATTTTACAATTATGGCCTAACTTGTAGGAGAATTACACTTGGATGGGAATGTAACCTAATTTTATATTGTAATTCTATAAGCATTAAAATTTACATATTATTATAGATGTATAGTTAATATCTAATGGTGATACATTATTATATTTAGTGTGAAGTGTATAGAGAGTTTGATGAACAAAAATACAAAATTTAACCATTGAAGGTTCATTCCAACTTAGTGAATTCGAATAATAGGTGTAAGAAGAAGACTTCATCTATAATATCACTTTGTAATATTGTAAAATTAAAGGAAATCATGAAAGAATGAACAACCATTTTTTTATTCAAATCTGAATAAAGGGATATGGTACCGATATTCTGATTTTATAGATAAATAATAATGGAGAAAAATAAGGAACCATGCTCCTAAAATCAATACATGAATTTGGCCTATAGTTATTCTCCTAGTATGCTGCAGCAACAAGTTATTCTAATTACATATAACTCAAGAAAATGCTGATTTCATTCAAACAGACAAATCAGCTGCATATTTTTTCCTTGATGAAGTTAAGCAGAAGTGAGATTTTTTTTACAGCAAGAAAAGTGAACCAATTATTTCAATTATGTAAACATACTCCAAAGAATCTAAAGTTGATAATTAAATAAAAAAAATAAAAAAATAATGCAACTTTCATCATGCTTTTAATTTTAACTTTTTTATAAGGAAGTTGATCAAATTAAAACGAAACCGTATCTTGTCTTTATTGATTGGCTTAAGAAGATGGATAACTCATGACACATCACTTTAGGGTGTATATTAGACATAATAGCTGATGTTTATGTGTCATAACCCATTTTTATGCGGTTGAATAAAATAATAATAACATTATTATTTTACTATTTGCATCCTGAATTTAACTATTTCAAAACTTTATCTTTTAGTTTTTTATTTTTACCTTTCACGGAGTAACTAATTCAATATATTTTTACTTTCTCACCATCTTTTTTATTCTCACACTCTATCACTCTTAACATCAAATTTCACATCATGTACTTTTCTTCGTCTACTCTTTCCATTTCCTTCTTATATTAACTTTTTTATACTAATTTTTGTAATTATTTCATTTACATTTCCAAATTATATTTTATTAATCTACTTTCTCTATCCATCTTTTTTCCTTTATTATTTCATTCATCAACTATAATTTCTCCACTCACCTTTTATATCAATTCTTTCACTCATTTTCACACGAACTTTTTTTTTTCGTTTTTCAAAATTATATTTATTTTACCTAATTTCTCGACTGTTTTATATTAATTCTTTCACTTATTTTACTAACTTTTTTTATTCTTTTCTAAAATTATATTTTATTTCATCTAATTTCTCCACTCACTTTTATATTAATTCTTTCACATATTTTTCATACTAACTTTTTTTATTCATTTTTTAATTATATTTTGTTTCTCCGTCCACTTTTTTATATTATTTCTTTCACTCATTTTTTCATACTAACTTTTTCTATTTTTTCACTTTTTCTATTTTTTCACTCACTTTTTTTTAATTATATTTTATCCATCACTTTTACTACCTGGAACTCCATAAATACTCACTTATTCTTCACTCCATTTGACACACATACCACTAATTTTCATTATCTTCCTAATCTCATCACTTTTATCATATTATCATCATCCTCCATTTTCTTTCTCCATACCAAACCATCATCAAACACTACCCCAATCCTCTACAAAATCACATCACCATTTTCATCTCCTAAACCTTTATTTTCAATTACATATCGGTTGGGCTATCCTTACTTCCTTTATCCAGGTTCATATTTGTTCACATTCTTTCTTTTAGTTTGAATTATGTTACTAGGGTTTGTTTTATTTGAGTTTTGCATTCTCATATAAGTTTTTCTATCTTTAATTTTATATTTCTATTTATAAACCTTTTTCTAGTTTCAAATAGACATTAAAAATATTATTGATTATCATGTGAAGTCTCGAATTTGCTTAATAATTAAAGTTTTCATAATAATTTAAAAAAATTATTAATTGTCATGTCAAGTTTCGGATTTGCCCAGTAAT